GCAGAGATATTTCATTGTAAAGTGATTGCTTAAACCAGCTTGTGATCATGTTTCTCAGCTACTTGATCTTGTTCTTCAAATATGGATTTATTTAGTCACTAATGTTTACCGTGTTCAAAGGCTACTGTTAGTAATGTTTGGCAGACTTTCTGATTTTACTGGTCAAAACCCATCTTGACTGTTTAATTGCCTTACTTTAAACAAGAAAATTATCTGTTATCTAAATGACGCGTGTGACACATAGGGCCACGCACACAAGGCGGTTATCTTGCTGTCTGCTGTTGGGAGCCAGACTTGAAGAACCCAGTCCTATGAAGTCCTCATCCACTGAGCATTTGTGGGAAGCCAGGGCAGTCAGTGTCTCATGGCACTGGCGTGTGGAGGAAGGAATGAGCGTTACGGAAGTTTTCTCGCAGGTTACCTGCAGTCCCCCTGCTCTTCTGTTACGACTTGCGTAAACCTTACTGTTATAATCCCGATTCTTTCTTGAGAACCTGCCAATCATTCCAGCTTCTGAGGTGATTGCGATGCTGGCAGGTATCCAGAAATAGAAACCAAGGCTTAAATTTCTGTTTAATGCTTTCTGAGAAAGAAAAAAAATATTAAAAAAAAAAAAACCACACCAAACATTTTAGGCAATTGACTGCTCAAGTCAATTGAACTGACTGTACAAAGTATCTTGGCAAACAAACAAAGGAGAGAAATAGCTTAATGTAGCATTACTGCGTTCAAGCAATCTGGGCATTTTCCTGGCTTAACTGGTTAGGTTGTTTGCAGTTGCATGTAATTACTCAGGTTGTAGGAACTCATTTTGTCAAACACAGATTACTTACTTAGTTCCTACAAAGAGAATGCAAAATGAGAAAAAAGAAGAATTTAATAGACATTTGTCATTCAGCTATCTGACACTGTATTATTTGGTATGCTCTGATTTAGAGGTAGATAACTGGCGCTAATACCAGGAATCAATTAAAAGGCAGAATGGGTCAGAGTGGATCGTTCTGTACAGACAATTAATTTACATTCCAGAGATTGATAGCTGTTTACTTTACTTTTTGAGATGTAGGAGAGCTGGTTGTTTCTTAGAACAGTTCTGGGGAGATATAAGTCTTAAACTAAAACTTAAAGGTTTTTTTCAGTGAGACTGCTGCTCTGGAAAGACAAGCTTCCTTGACAACTCTTTTTCTGTTACTTTTTCATTTGTTTCCTTATCGCTGTCTCTTTTGTTTTAATTTTTTTCCTGTGAGGTGTTAAATAGCCTATTCTATTCTCTTGCACTTATTATCTATTCTCTTGCACTTATTTAGTTAACTAAGATTTCTTTTTCCAAAGTTGCATAATTAGGGGATTTGGGTGGGGTTTTTTGTTTGGGTTTTTTTGTGTGGTTGTTTTTTTTTTTTAATCTGGCAACAGTAATTTGACAGCATGGGTTTGAATGGTTTTCAGTGCAAGCACTTTTATGGACTCTGATAATCTTGCGGGCTAGCTATGAATTCGGCACTTTGGCAGACTCCCAGCTTACCTTTTAACCCCCTATCTGTACTTTAATGGGAGTCATGCTGCCGTTGTTTTAGTCTCTTCCAAATTTCTTTTGAAACTTCGGTGCGGTTTGTATTTGTGATAATAAAAATCTACTGGTATTAAATTCCATTATTGTGAGTAATTAAGCTGATGTCTTCAGTGCCTCCAATAGGGTTTTCAAGAGGCTTATAGGCTTCACTCCTTTGTTTTGGCTTGATGAAGGGGTCCCAGAAGTTTTTCTTCTGTAGAGTAGAACTGTAGTTTGGTAAATGGTAAGAAAGTTATATTGACTTGTGCTTTTACATGTAGGCTTAAAATTTCACTGTCGGTCTTTACAGGTGGTCAGAATTTAATATTTAGACTCTTCCTGTTTTTCCCTTTGCTCAGTTTGTTCATTCTCTTTTTCCACTGTCAAGTTAATTTTTTATTGCTAATTTCTGTGTCTTATACAAATCTTCAAGGAAATAAAGACAATGGTGAGAATCCTGTCCTTCTCCATTATGTAGTGACTGGCTGTTAGTGTTTTACTACTGTTGAGATTTCTCTTAGCTTAGGAGTTTCTTGGGTTACCGACTATTTCTCCATTCAATTCCATGGCTAGCATATGAGTGGCATTAAATGAAACTTCAACAATTTTAGGTCCTAACAGCTCCAGTGTGTCACCTGCCTGCACTGGGAAGTCCTGCTTCTGGAATCAGAGTTAAGATAACATATAAGAGTCTTCTGAGGGTCACTTACCACTATGAATTAAGGTGGATCCAGTTTTCTGAGCAGCCTCTTGAATTTCATCAGTTCCTATCATAATCATTTGTATTATGACCTTCTTCCTAAAAGTCTGTTGTGATGGTGGCTGGAAGTGGTTCCCAGATTACATCAAATATAATTATACTTTGATTTCTTTATCTGAACATCTTGACTTTTTGAAATACAGCTTTTATTCTTCCTTAGCTTAGGAACATCCAAGATAACACTGCATTTGGAAGATTAAAAGCTACAGCTACAAGCTTATTTCCTTCTCCCATCTGCAAGAGCCTTATCCTATTCTTATACTTGATCACATTCTACTTGATGATGTTATAGTCTTGTCTTAATGCAGGTCTTTTGATTGTAACACTTGTAACTCACTGAAAGAGCAGTTTTGGGAAGGCACGTGATTTTTGGAGCAGGGAGCTTTATTTTCTTTATTCGACTTCTTTGCAGGGCACAAAGCTGTTGATATCTGTCTGCCCTTGCATGATGTTGGACAATCCTTGACAATCACTTTCCAGGGATAGGAAGAGGTGGTTATTTGACAGGTAAAATGGTTAGATGTAGGGTATTATGTTGTAGCCAGCTGGATCTTGGGTTTTTTAGGAACTCATAAAAAGGATGACCTTAAGGAATGATAAAATATGTAGTCTGCTCCAAGGGGCCTTACGAGGGTGACCAGCTGAGGACCTACAAGAGCAGAGTAACTGATCTGGAGATAGCAAAGTCTGGTGTAGGGTGTATTGGTTGCAACGAGCATTTCTACAGCCAATATATACTTCAGCTACATAAACCATATCTGACAAAGCTAGTTTATGTGGGAGACAGTGGATTTACTGTTAGTGAGGTAAATCTGACTTTGTTTTGCCATGTCAGACTTCTTGTACATGCACAAACCACTTTGTAACACAGCACAACTGATCTCTACATGCACAGTACGTCATGTAGTGCTTCCAAGAAGTGTCTGATTTACTGCACAGATGTACAATGAATATGCAGACCTTGACTAGTAAGTCCACTGTGTCCCAGAAGTATCTGGTTTTTATGCTATCCTGTGTACATGCTTGAGAAATATGTTAGATACAGGTGGGCCAGCACATTTTGAACAAGTGTCAAAAGAAAAAAAAAAAAAGAAGACTAAAATCCACCTACTGAATTGGGGTGATAGGGAGAAAAGTACATTTCTGGGGGAATCCCAGCATACTGTAGCCTTGGACATGTCCATAAAAACTCTTAACATAGTGCAGCCTTGGAAGGGTTGTTTAATCATTTAATGTGTGTGAATGCTTCCACTGTGTTACGGTGCCTGTGATTCTAAGTTCTGGGGGCTGATAGGGAGACATTTCTCTAAAAAAAATCCTCAGAGTAAGGTGAAGACTTTTCATCCCTCACTCAGGTGAATTTGTTGGCATAAAGGATTTTTGCAACAAAACCTGTATCTTTTCATAAGCTTTTGGGATAAAATTTGTTTTGTTACAAAGGCTAGCATGGGATTTTATTCCTCTATCTGATTTAGAACTTCCCTACAATTTCTCATCAATTCCACCTATGGAAATTCCACTAATTCTTCTAGGAAAACATTCTGATCAGAAAGTGTCCACACAGAGGACATGTCACCTAAGGACATGTGTTCTGCTTTTGTTTCTGATCTCTGTATGCATTCATACATACAATGCCTTCATTTATTACTGTGTATTTTTAATACATGGCAGAGGTACCTAAAGCCTAGACAGAAGTATAAAAATAAAATGGTCCATGCAATATAAGTGGGGTTTTTTGAATTTGTTTTATGTTTGTTTTATTATTTATACATGATAAAATGTTTTTAATTATGGAGCTTTATTCATGCAAGTGAGGGTTCTTTTATGCATTGACTTCCCAGATCCTTTTATAGTTTAGTCTAAGGCAAGTGGCAGGTAAGTTAAGTGGTACCTAGCATCCGTTGTGTTGGAACATGCAATAACCATCAATGGTAGATTTAGAAAATGTGAAGAGGGCAAGACAGGAAAGGTGGATATCCCTTTCTCAACCTGTTTTTGACCTTACCCAATTTAATAACCGAAGAATTGTGTATTTTTGACACAAAGACATTTGTACAAGTGATCAGAGACAGCTGCTAAGATGCATTGTTTAACAACGAATGCAAAATACTCCTGTGAGATTATTTTTGAGCAGGTTTAAACTGCAGAAGATAATGCTCCCAAAAATGAGAGCATTGTTTTTCATTGCAATCTGAACTTTGAATTGCTAGTATATAATAAGAATCCAATTCAAAATAATCCAAGTCTGAAAGTACCTTTTAATTCAACCCATATGATAGAGTATGGGTAAATTGGTAGTCCTTACTTTGTGCTAATGCAAAAATGGAGAATGTCTTCATTAGACATTGTTGACCTATTTCACATAGACAGAATGTTAGATCGGTAGCAAGCAAGACTGAGGTCTTTTCCAAACGTTTCTGATTCTGTCTTGAATACAGCTGTGCTTTCATGCAGCTAAAGAGAGAGTAAAGGCCTGGTCTTGCAAAATGCTTGTCATTGCCTGCTTCCTTATTGCCTTTAACTGGGTCTGTTTAGTGACTGCTACCAACTTTTCATGCACACATGTGAAGGACGGTTTCTCGGTGGTGTTTGTCAAACCGTCTGTTTGTCATATTCTGTAGTTTATGATGAAATTCAAGAGCACATGATCAAAATTTGAGAGTTTATTAATTTGGGGCCTTTTTATTTCAGGGACCTGAAACTGGACAATATTCTTCTGGATGCAGAAGGCCACTGTAAACTGGCTGACTTTGGGATGTGCAAAGAAGGGATTCTGAATGGAGTGACCACCACGACCTTTTGTGGCACACCTGACTATATAGCTCCAGAGGTATTTTTTTGAACTGCACTAAGAATACAGATATTATCATTCATCAGACTGTTACATGTGTAATTTTAGACACTTTTTACATGTAGATGAAAACAATAGAAGATGCAGACTAGATTGTGCCGCAGTTTTTCCTGAATAATCTTGCAGAAATTGGTTACTCTACTGCTCACAAGCAGTATTCCATGTTGATAGGAGTGGCAAAACATGGTTTTTCTGTTATTTGTTCCCTGAACTTAACCATATTCTTCTCCGTATGCTCATTTCTGACTCAGCATCATTGTGAAGACACTTACTAGCCTTTAAGGTGCTAGGTACAACTAAGTACTGCCTGCACTGGTCTTTAGTAGTTATAAAAATGTTTTCAGTTTTTCATGAGACTTAGAAGGGGGTTTTCATATGGAAGAGGCTGTATGTTTGGTGCCATTTTGCCTAGGGTGTTTGTGGGAATACAATTTTTTTCCTGTCTTTAAAGTATCTGTGAGTGAAAGATACTATGTTTGTGGTACTTCTCATCATATGGATGAACAGAAAGTATAGACTTGTATAGAAAAGTGGGAACTTTTCATATGGATGCTGCATATCAGTTGGCAACATCCAGAGTCATTTCAAGGCATTCATTGGATAAAAGAAATGACTGAGAATCATGCTCGGTTTACATATCCTAAATTTTAATATCATGAGATGCATTTCCAAGTGCCTAAAATGAATCAATATTGTACAGTTAGTCTGCTAGGCAGACTTTGTCTGCCCGGTTTAGTTCGTAACCTGTGCATCTTTCTGCTGAAGATTCAGTGTGCAGTTTTAATGTAGAAGTTTCATTGGTTTGTCTTTCATCAACCAGAAATTTGCAGCAGGGGAAAATGTTAGTTTATTATTTGTTAGAGACAATAAATTAGAAATCCATATTGTTAGTGTTTATGGCTGTCAAGGTTTGGTAGCACAACTAGCAAGGTGTGAATCATCTTTAAACTATCATAATATAAACATGTGTTTTATGGAGTTTGAAAAGTATTCCGGCATTAAAAGAAATAAATGCCAGTGTGATGGTTTGGGGTTTGTATGAGTTCTTTTCTGATTCAGTATACTAATTGAGTCCTTTGGCAAAGTCTTTGAAAATTATTACTGAAAACAAAGTACTGATGAGATCCCAGGAACTTCTACATGAAATCCTGGTCTCACTGAAGTCAGTAACTCAGGCTTCCGTTTTGTCATCTTAATTGCAGAAGTTTATCTCCTGCTTCTATTTCTCTTGCATCATGGTGGTATGTTTCAATTTCCTTTCCTTTAGCAATATCTGAGTTCCAAAGAGTGCCCAGAACACTTGAAAAGTACACTTTTAAAGAGTATCGTTTTCTGTAATTAATGTCTATAAAATGAAATATCCATTCAACTAAGAATCCAGTTGGGATCCAGACCTCTGTATTCAAATGTTAAACTCGCTTCTGTTTTTATGTTAAGACTGAATTTGGGTTTATATTGGTCGTGATTCCAAATACAGCACTAAGCTCAGGGGGTTCACCACAAGGCTTCTGACTGTAACACTAGTGTTGCTTAAGGAGGTAGTGGAGTCGTTGCCATTCCAACTCATTTTAAGGCAGTCAGCTTCACCTTAAACACTCACCCACTCTACTTTCCCTAGTCCCCTGTCATGCTGAAACATTGAAGCCAAACTACAAGCGTCTTTTCAGGAGGAGCCAAGAATTAAACTTGTTCCTTGTACAACACCAGTTCTGTAACACCAAGTACAATACAATAAAACTCCATCATGCTAACCTACTACTCCCCACTAAACGTATTTGCTACAAGGTTGAACTTGTGCCACGTGAAAAGCTGTAGCCAGTTTTTCTGAAATTAAAGTGAGTCCTACAGCCATGTATTGTACAGTGTTTTAATGCTGTAAAAAGAACATGGGCAAAAATGTTTTTGGCTTCCTTCAGCCCTACCTAAAGGACTGGAATAAATCTCTCAGATGATTGCAGCATTACAAGCTGGTTCAGTTTGTTTTGTTCAAGATAGAGACAAGGAAATGTTTCACATTTTCCACCAATCTGTTTTGTATATGTGATCTTTTTTCCCCTATAGCGTGACCTGCTTTAAACAGTTTGGAAGGATATACAGCTCTTTTGCTCACGAGCATATTCTTTTACTCAGGGGACAGATAAACTCAGTACTTCTGAGAACAGCTACGCGTTGACACTTAGCTGTGTTAGTGCAAATTGCATGGGTAAGAAACCATGCCTGCTGTTACCGAAATCAGTGTGGGATTTAGTCCTACTCAGGCACCGGGGGAAAGAAGGGGTGTATCATGTTAAAACAGCAAATGTGCAGCCGAGAGTGTTGTCGAGCTTGTCTATTCAAACCAATCTCTTTTTCTATACTAGATCCTCCAGGAGTTAGAATACGGCCCATCAGTAGACTGGTGGGCTTTGGGTGTTCTCATGTATGAAATGATGGCTGGGCAACCCCCCTTCGAAGCTGACAATGAAGATGATCTCTTTGAATCCATCCTTCATGATGATGTCTTGTATCCAGTCTGGCTCAGTAAAGAAGCCGTCAGCATTTTAAAAGCAGTGAGTCTTCAATTACTTGCTTTTCTCCTCCTCTTCATGGTTTTTTTGGGGATTGGTTTTTGGGTTTTTTTTTTCCTTGATTAAAATTGAATTTGCTGAAAGTTGTTGAGAGCAGTCACCGCTGGGAGTTCAAGCACAGTTCAGAGTGCCACTGTTAGGGTAATGGGGCCTGGGATAAGTTACACCGCTTGTGGGAAAGGAACAGAATGTTTGTCTTCCACGCGGTTGTACACTGTATAAATCTGTGTACCGCAGATTCATGTTTCAGGGAAAACCCAACCAACTAGAACTGTGCTATCACTTTGACACTTTATATGCTGCGTGTTCACTAGAGTTGGGGAAGCACTACGTAATTAAAGAAACAATGTTTTTATTTAACCCACTTATAAAATTTCCTGTCCCTCTGCCTTTCTTCCCCTATCAGCAAGGTGGGTTGAAAGCCCTTTATTTACAGCTGCATGTTCTATTTTATAGTTCATATAACACTTTGATAAGCAGTCTTACTCTAGTAATTGTTTCTGCCCTGGTTGGTGTTTTTCAATATGAGTAGTGACTTGACAGAAATGTGTGTCACCAAATACCACAATTTTTTCAATCAGTCAAAATGTGCCACTGGGCAACTTCAGTTTTTAGACTACCTTTCTAAAGTCAGGTTTACTTCATTAACATGACACTGACATAAATTCTTTCTTCTGTGTTAGTATCATCCTAAAATAAAAAGCAAAACAAAACAGACACAGTATGCCAATCCCTGTAGTTTGAAAACCTGAGGAGGATTTCTGGCTTAAAAAAAAAAAAACCCTCTTTTTTATTCCAGTTTTCCACCTTCTTTGAAAGTGGAAAGTTTCTACCTTTCCACTTCTGTATTTCTTTCAGCATCTGGAATAAGGGAGACTTTCAGTTAAGAGGGCAGCTGGTAGTGTAAAGTCCTGCAGAGATCTTCTGCAGGGTTATATTTTGAAATTATATATAAAACTTGAACAAATTCTGATGTTAACACCAGTGGACGGGTAACACATTCTACAGAAATGCTCGTCTTGATCTTTTAATAAAAATATCTTCAGGATCATTCTAGCTGAGAGGGATGCTCTAGCATATGATTCAAAGCAGAAGTTGAAGTTAACCTCTCTGAATTATTTGCTGGAGTATCTCTTTTGCTCCATTCATTGTAGTGAGAACATGGAGGATTTATTAAAGCTGACCTTTGTACATATTCTCCCTTCTCCCCCCAGATACCTCTCTGATGACTTTTTATTAGCTGACATGGTACTTCCATGCGTCCATTTTTGTTCCCAGACCCTTCAATTATTTTCAGTTCAGCAATTAAAATGTATGGACATGAACTGCAGAATTTAGGCTGATATCCAGGGTTCAGGGATTATTTTGGCGTACTGTAGAGAAAGGGTTGCTGTCAATGTTCGTATCTGCATCTGAATTTCACTGAAGTCCAGGAGATTTTCTGTAGTGTTTTGGTGTCACAGTCTGTAAGATCTGTTCCTTTGCCATCCACAGGCTCCTTCAGTGAATCTACGTTAACTGATCTTTCTGTTATTCTGAATTGTGGAAACATTTGTTGGAGGGGAAAAGTTAACCGATAACTCTTGGTTAAGTGTGCAGTACGAGAGCCATTCTGACTATTAGGAGAAGGTGTTTGTTTTACGGAGCGAAGGGAGAAACAGATTTGACAGTTAGTGGCTTACTGTTGTATCATTTGTGGTGCAAGTAGTGAGATGTCTAACTGGTAATGTTATACATGTCATTCATTAACCACACACAAATGCAGACACAGAAGTGGGCTGCAGGTGTAAACTATGTATTTTTGTGAATGTAAGTGCAAGGGTGATAAACCCTCTAATTTCTTTTAAAGCTGACTTTGCTATAAATTTTCATGAGGCTGTTTTCCTGGGTCAACATTTTGATAAGTAGGCATGGTGATTTGTATTTTGCTGTAGTTGTAGAATTTTTTTTTTTACATCTTTCTGCCCAAAGTTAATCCTTAATGTGATTATAAACCTTAAAAACAGAGTTGCATCCATTGAATAGATTTGCATAATAATAATAGGTTATTCCTCACTGGGCAAGATGTCTTCACTGACATAAATTGATAGAATTTAATGGAGCTGTGCCACTTTACACTTTACATAAAACGAAAACATTTCCTTACGTTTAGCAACCTGCTGCCTATGCAACTATGGTGTGAAACACGTTTGAAACTTGTGTTCTTCATCTGATCCTTGTCCACATTCTGTTAAATGAAGAACAGGAAAAACAGAGGAAAGAAAGAGGCGTCTATGTATTTTACTGCTGAACGGTAGCAAGGGATTAACTTTGGAACACTTTGTTTCCTCACATTGTGCTTTGAAGACATGGGGTTTATTCTTTAGAAACTGTGTGGTTTTGCACTCCTCCAAACAGCATGTAAGGAAAGTTTAATAAGAAGACGTTCTCTTGTATTAAGTAACAATGTTTTCTTATTTTCTGAAGAAACAGTTTTCCTGTTATTTCCAACAAAACATTAAGGAGAATAATTTTACAGCTCAGTATTACAAGGCAGCACGTTGCTTGTCCCATGAAATCCCAAGATCTTATTAGTCCTGTTTCTGTGAATTGACAGGAATTGCTATTTAAAATTCTTTCCTGTCTGGTAAGGAAAACAATTCTTCATTGAAATTAGCTCTGTGCTTCTTTGCAAGCAATGGAGGGAGGTTGTGTCTACAGTGTGTGTTCCCTGTGTACCCAGATGACAGAGATCTCTGGGTACAGAAGCAGCACTCTGTTTTTAAGCTGTGCTATTTATTTCAAGAAGCAAAATTTTGGGAGTCTGGTGATCCTTGATTTGGGCCCCAAGTTGCATGGCTCTCAGCAACCTTTTGTCCTGTTGTCATTTAAGTCAGTAGGAACTCTGATCTTAAAAGGCTTCTCTTTTCATAAAAGGAGGTTCCTGCCTTAATATAGGAAAATAAAAAGGCAACACTTACGGCTATGGCTGTCAGCTCTATTGGCAGCCATCTCATGAACACTGTCTCTGCCCTGACAGTTGCATCATTGTTGATGCTATTGATAAACAGGGAATAAATGTCAGCTTGTGCTTCAGAAATAGAAGGTGAAAAAATTGGTATTTACTGCAGGGGATGAAATTTATAGAAATGTCCACTTCAGAAGTTTGAGATTATTTCATCATATTTGCATATGATAATTTTGTTTGTTTTAAGTATTCGTTCTTAAAATTTGTTCTGTGTCATCATCCATTTCCAAGTTCATGAAGTTTGTGAAGTACAGTACTAAACTGTACTATCTAGTCATATTTTCATGTCCTGGGCTTCTTAAAAATGACATGTTCTGATGTTTTCCCTGCCTCTGGCTTAAAACAAAGATAGAGCATGGCAGACACTAGGATCAGATTTTACTTCTTTGATACCTGGATTATACGGTACAAAAACTGTATCCTGTAGTTTCCGTGTTCTGTTTCTGCAAAATGTGTGGCTGCTGGTTCCTGGCCTGCTCACTCCAGTCCTGGAGGTGAAATAAAGCAGAGGAATGTAGGAATGTGTTTTGTGGTTTTCCAAGAGACCTCACCAAAGCACAGTAATCCTTTCAAAACCTTTGTTTCTCCTGCCCATAGAAAATATGGTCTGTAGTTTAGATATGACTTGTCTACTTGCAAAAGAACTTGCGGAGCAGTTGAACACAAGACCAAAGAGAAGGATCGTCTTTGGAGCGGCGTGTATATGTCAGAAACCACAGAGAGAATTGCCTCGCTGATCTATGTTATATCTTTAAAATGATAGCAATGGTATTCTTCTGTGGATGGTTGATCTAGCTATCTAAAACCATCTTAAGGGCTTCAGTAGCTACTTATCTAATAACTGGAGTACTAAAGCAAGGGTATGCATTACAGTGATTTTTTTTTTTTAATGTTTTTTTTTCTACAGAGGTATAGTATAATGTGGTACCTAGGTTAAAAAGGTACTGTACAGTTATCAAGTTTTGTTTTGTTTGTACACTTTTTTAAAAATTTAAAGAATGTTATAATAATGGCTGAATATGAAGTTGTAGCAAAGCTTGGGATAATTCTATAATATGAGTGTGTGTGCATGTATAAGAACAGCATTCGTTGCTACTTGAATTGCAAGGATTCTGTGTCCACATGCATTAGGAAATAAGTAGAGTGATTGCTAATAAAAGACGGAAGAAATAACAGAGCAAAGTCAGGAAAAATATTATCAGCTGCCATCATTTGATATCAATGTCTTACACTGGTTGTACAGCTTTTTGTTGAAAGGAATAGTAAGAGTTTAAAAGCAAGAAGTTTAGAAATTACCACACCGGAGGAGACCAGTTAGTTCCAGTTGCTGCCACGAATGGTGTACTAAAGATGAAAGGGAAGGTGCAAGTTATGTCATGGAGTTTCTCAAGGGAAGCTTTCTGCTGGTACTGATCACTCCATGTAGTATTTCCTGAAACGTATGGACAGAACGCGTATAATTCACATAGCTGCAGGTGCTGTTCTTACTTAGAATAAAATCCTAGAAATGAGTAAGGAGGTTTTTCATGTGTTTGCTTGAATGGAGTGTATGATTATGCAATGTACCTGCCAAAAGAAAATAAACAACAGTAAGCATAATATGTAGCCCCTATCCGCCAAATTAATAGTTAAGATAGAGCAAATAAGATAAAATAAGCGCTATACTGACCATCTATTTGGAAGTGTCTCTGGAGGGTTTAATATTTTCTTTCTTTTCTTTAGTATTTTTGGCCAAAGCTGGAACTAGAAATGCTGAAAGGGAATCTGTTCCTGTAGCGCTCCCAGCCAGATGAAATTAGGAGGTCTCGGCAGTTGAAAGAGCTTCCTGCAGGAAACTTACACGTCGGAGTCTCTGAATCTTCTAGTTTGGCTGGAACCTCTGAAATTTGGAAGGGCATCCTTGTCGCTCTTACAGAAAAAATAAGCTGAAAGGGGACTGTCTCTAGAAACTAGGCATTAGGAATTGGAATGCATAATTGAACCGCAAATGGTTTCCAGCCATTGCCATTCATGTTTTAATTTTTTCCTTCTCTCCCTCCCCCACCCTGTAGTTCATGACAAAAAACCCAAATAAGCGACTTGGCTGTGTGGCGTCACAAAACGGGGAAGACGCGATTAAGCAGCATCCGTTTTTCAAGGAAATTGACTGGGTTCTTCTAGAACAAAGGAAAATCAAGCCACCCTTCAAACCTCGGATTGTAAGTAGCACTTTGCATAACATTCAGAGGAAACTTGGTTTGACAATTCTAGTTGTTGGCTTTTCTGAGACGTGAGATTACTCGATGCAACATTTGGGGGTTGAAATAGTAACATAAAAACCGCCCTGAAAAGACTGCCTTGTCATTGTTTCTGTGAAGGTAAGTGTCAGGAATAGATTTAAGGCACAGGAAGATACTCGTGTTCAGTCACATAAACCAGGAGAGGGTTTGAGGCCCTGTTTTAATTATTCTCCTGTGTTCCTAAAGATACCTTGATCAGAAGAGATTATTTCACTTGGGTATATACTGTCTGTACTTTCTGTGTGAACTCTGCTACAGTCCTGCATTGCCGATAGCCACTGGATTTTGTAGTGAAAGACAGAGGAAAGGATTTCTGATTAGTAATATTTCAACTGAAGATACTTGAAGAAACAGCTTCCTGGGGGAAAGAAATACACATCATGATTAGATAAATTGATATACTTAAATTTTCCTAGGTAGTTATCAAGTATTTCTATTTTAAGGTAACAAAAATATGTAGCAGCCCCACATGCAGAAACTACAAAAGCCAAGCAAAAATACTTTACTTATTCTTGTCTTCCTCTGGATGAAAATATTTAGAGTTCACCAAATGTCAGCTTTTCAGCTGAGAATGTGTGCAGTAAATTTTGTGCTTGAACAGTACAAGAGAATAATTTTATGATAAATCCTTTGAGATTGATTTGCATCTTTTGACTTTGCACATTCCTAGTTACGGTGTTTGATTTGGCTGTAAATATGATCAAGGTACTTGTTTGTTTCTTTCTTTAGATAGTTTACAAAGGTGTATTAAAAAAAACGAAAGAAAACTTTGGGCTCAACACTGAATCCTAACTTAAATTTAGAGGTGAAAAAGTCCCCTCTGTCATTGCAGAATTGCTGTCTGTTGCATTTAATGCATTTACTTTTAGTCCAGTGAGATGCATTTCCCCAAGTTCCTTGTGTAGGCAGTGAAAGCGGAGCTGCCCATCCAGAACAGGAGCCTGAGGTAGCTCATCTGAGTCCACTCTTGGAGAAGTCTCTCCCTCTCTCTGTAGCTATGCAGAAAGAGCCCAAAGGGATTGACAACTGTGAGTGAAAGTTAGCCCTTGTGAATGTCTTTCTAGGAGTAATAGTAAGATATAGTGTTACCATATGGGGAAGTTTTTCTTAATATATTTCTTGGAGGATGGAAGCCTTGTAACGCGTTAGCTACAGGCAGAGGGGTGCCTGAGCCAGCCCCTCTCCTGGAAAGGGTCCAGCCAGCTGGGCATGCTGGCTCCCTTACCCTGCTGCCCAGCTCTGCTCTGGAGGTGTGGCCAGGTTGCACCTAGGGCCTGAGCTGACTTACAAATCTCTGCACTGATGCAGGAAGTGTAAACCCCAAATTAACCCTATTAGTATCTACCTGACGCCTATTTAATACTGTAACTAACTGCTTTCCAGTCAGGTTCCACAGCCCTCAGATAGTTGCAGACAGCCTTAGTCGGCGTTTGGCTGAGTTGCATGTGTGTAGCTCTTTTCCCATTTTCACAAGAATTTGGCCTTTCATCTCACAGTGATTTTTGTTGTTTTGCTCAGTATTCATCAACGTTTTGGTAATACAGTTATCAAATCAGGATGCACAATTCCAAAATAATTTTTACTTTAGGCCTGCGTCTAGCAAGTCTCAGATTCCTCACATCTAGTCTGTTTATTGGTTGTTTTCCTTTCATGATCAAGATGCACAGTCACTTTGACAATAGGTATTTTTACGAGGCCTTTGTTATTTTTGTAAGTATTCCTGAGTCCTCCTTAAAAGTCAGGAGGGATTTAGTGTGTCAGACTTTTTTATTCATTGCTGTTATAAATACCTTCTGCCTTCTCAGTGCAGCTTCTTTCTCTTTCTGGTAATTATTTCACTGCTGTTATATTGTAAAGACATTCCTATTTTATTCATTCGTGTTGTTTTGTTCCTTTTCTGCTTCCTTTAATGGTATTTTAGTTGGATATTTCAGTTTTAGTAGTGATTTCAGATTATTTCAGAATAGTCCTTTATATAATTTTCAAGACAGCTGCTTGCTCTTTAGTAATTGTCAGGGTGATTTTATCTGTCTTTTATTTACACCTTTTCTCATTTTTCTTCAGGCTGCTTCTATAATGTCGGATTTTCATACTACTTCCATATTTTATATGCCAACTTTCTTTATTCTACCAAATTTGATTCCTGCAGTCTAGTAGTTCTGTATGCTTGGGTTTTTTCTGAACTCTTTTTTTTATGGTGGTGAATTCAGCTAACATGTAGTCTGTGTAACAGGCATCCCTATTATTTTCATGTTCTCAGTCTGCTCTCTCTAAGATATCTTCCCCAGTGACCTGGTCCTATCAACTTTTACTGATAACTTTTCTACACTTAGAAAGGGCATACCTTATATATTTACACTATGTTTATGATCCATCAGCTGTTTTGTACCAGCTGCATAAATTTTGCAATTGTTTGGATTTTGTTGTTGTGTAGAAATCTTTGAGCAAGATCATAACTAAAATTTTTACTTGTCCTCTTAAAATTGAACGATTTATTATTTGGAAAGTAAAGTGTGATATATATCTAGGCTGGAGAAAAGAATCACACAAATAAAATCTAATTATTAATTATGCAACTTCAGAAATAGTAAAGGAATCTAGGGCAATAAATTTCAAATGCTGAAAAGGTGATTTTGGATACTTGCCAAGCTAGAAGAGATTGCACTCACTTTGAAAAATACAGGAAAGAGGGAAGAAGGTGAACACTAATGAAATAAAATCTACTTTAAAATCTAGATAGAGAGTTCCTCTCTAAATTCAGTTGTGGATGTAGCATTGAGATTCATTGATTCAGATTAACAAGTGTAACTGTTCCATAGCTATGGAATAACTATGGAAAAAACATAACTAATGCCTGTGTTCGGAATGTTTTCTGGTTTTTAACATCCTTCAGTATTGATAAAGGGCTGTTGATTATGTAAAAGTGACTTCTAATGTTAAAAGGGGATTAAAAAGATACATTTTTAATCTTATGTTTAGGAGAGCCTAGATCTGTGAAAATAGCTATGAGAAGAGAGGCCAGATTATTAGTCAGAAAATAGACATTCTTGCATGTGGTGTGTGAGTGTACATATGTGTAGGGGAAGAAGCATACAATGCATATACAGTCATTTGTGCATTCAAATTGAGTTTTGCATGCACATACAAAATTTGGCTCATGCAAGAATGCATATATTTACACAGGTATTCATCTATTTTCTGACCAACCGTTAAGATGACTAAGGGGGGAAATTTTATAATTACTGTATCATACACATTTTCAAAAAAACCCAAAACATAGGGTCTATTCAGATGAGCTCTGGGCAATAAAAACGCTAACATGAAACAAGTAAAGTCATTAGGGAAAATGGTCAAACACTGAGGTCCTATCAGACAATGGAATAATCTGCCAAGGGAGGTCACAGAGGTGCTAGCGTAGAAACAAACCTTGCTTCAGTTCTGCCTCACTACTCCGCTCATCCCAAAACGACATGAGTTCCTTGGTTAGCACAGCCGTCTTCCTTTTCTGTTACCTTTTATCCTTTCTCTGCCACAATAGATTTTCTGGAGAGCTACATTACATGGTACTGTAAGGCCTGTGCTTCTCATAGTTCATATATGTCTCTTCAGCTCTGCCAGCCTTAAGTCTGAATTTTTCAACTGGACTTGGAAGAAACGCTGCATGGCTATTTATTAGCCAGACTTTCGAAGGGTTTTTTTAAATCTCACTCATGCTGTGAATGTATGCAAACATACTCCTTATTATACCAGAAATATACCACTAATGTCTTTCTAGTTCGTACATGATTTGATTATTCGGATAATGTTTTGGAAGCTGAAATTTCTTTCCTGTTTTCAGCCTTGGAATGAAAATTACCAAAGGGTCCTTGAAAAACTGACTATGTTTTCTGAAAGCTTGCAAGAGTGCCCTAGGCAGAGCACTCATACAAATGGCTGAGGGTTAGGTTGCTAAGCAGTGACAGGAGTGCCACACCAGGTTGTGCAAGGTAGAGACAATGGATGCAGATTTGGTGGCCCTGAAACCTGCTGTGAAGGATCTTTGGCTGCTCCTCCAGGTTAATTACTTGGAATAGAGAATATGAGGGAGTGAAAATGCACTGGGCCCCAGTCCTGTGATGCATATTATCTACCAGCCCTTCCTTTCATAAATCCAGAATTATGAAGCTTTTCAGTGGCAAAATTAATTTTTACATATATAATATGGTTTACTATACTAGAGGGTTTCTCCCATGTAGAGCTATTATAAATGTTAAGCTACTATAGAAAAAGCAATAGCTCTGGGGCATGTACATTAGAAATCAAGCAAACTTTTGAATAGCTATGAAGAGGATATTTGTTACATCTAAGCTCCAGCGACCTTGACAGTGTTTCTTGAAGATCATTTCCTCTGTTCTTAAAACCTAATTCTTAGAGTTTCACAGTGTCTTGAAATTTTCTGGATAATGTTATTCTTCCCTGCTGCTTTTAATGCAGACATGAATATGTAATTGCATAGACAAGAAATAAGTACAGTTTTAGTGCAGACAGATATCTTGCAGACAGATACCTTTTCTCCAGAGCAACTGTTGTGAGACAGAAATCCCTCTGAGGCACTTTATTCCTCTGTTGAGATATTTTGTCTCATGTATTCTTCCTGGAATTTTATTCCATTTGGAGAATGAAATTTCCGTAATCCGTAGCCGTAACACCAGGCTGGTGGTTTGCAACATAATTTATTGCCCAAGAACCACAAAGGCCTTGAAATAGTATTCAATGATTCTCTGCTCTCCATTTTTCTTTGTTTCCATGGTTATGTTCCTGGCTTGGCTGAATTGGTTGTTTCCGTTTTCAAAGTGCGTTTGCCATAATACAAATGCAAACCAGCGTGCAGTAGGTTAATTTCTTACCAAAGTCATTGATATGGTGGTAAGTGTGGTAGA